TGCGAAATATAAGCTGATATAAAGAAAAGGTGATATTTATTTTTAAAAACAGCTGACTTTAATAAAACCGGGAAAATATTTTGAAAGTAGTGCAAATTTTTTAATTCGAATATAGAGAAAAAATTTTAACTGATAGTAATTTGAAATAGAATGAAAAATAACAATCCAAAAACCTGAAATCCACTAAAGCTAATAAAACTACTGAATGACATCCCTTATAGTTATAATAATCAATTTTTAAAATTTCCCACATGTAAATCGTATTTAAAATATGTAATTTTTATCATTCGAATTATAAACAAAGAAAGCATATGATTTTCTTGATTTGCGGCAGTTTGAACGCTTTCCAAATTAACTTAATTAATTTCATATGAACGAAATGAAGGAAATTTGGGTGCTTGAATACAGTATTACCAAGTTATTACTGGAAGGATTTTGTTTGTTGATTATCGTAATGTTTGACTACTTATTTCGGATAGAACTGTTTGTCAAAATTTTTGATTACTACACTGAGAGAAATAACCACATTGCAAAGTTAATGATTGAACACAAAGTTAATGATTTGGAAATGGATATTTGCATGGTTTATGTTAAATTTTATTTTCAATGTGAAAACGAAACTTTTCATTTCACATGGAAAGCATATTTAATTTTTTTTTTCAAATCAATTGAGCCATCAGAATCTAGGAATTCATGGTTGCCATTTACTGAAAATTGTACTGCAACTTTCAAAATAAAGTTGTTGAATAAAAATTCAATAATAAGATAATTAGGAGTATAATTTAATTAATCGCCAAAACATTTCTTTACAATGTATGGGAAACGTTCATTATACCTAAGTCTATATATAAGTTCTTCTTAATACATTTTATCTTTTGTCATTCAAAGAGATAAATCATACATCCATTATTTAAGCCTACTTGTAATATACATTTATATATACATTCTTCTGGGATAATTTATATTATTTTATAAATTTATATTATTTAAATTTTTAATATATTTTTATGATTACTCCTAATTATTTATTTCAATTGAATTGTTAATAAACAATAATGCGTATATATTTATAATTGTAGTTGTAATAATTCACATTTAAGCTAATAAATCAAATAATTTCAAAGTTATTTGGTTGTTTTCTTGTTTTCTTATCTTGTACTTAAAAGTATTCAAACCGCAACTGCTTTTTAGACAATTTGATTTATAAACGAATCAATTTCAAATTGCAAATATTAGCCTTCAATTTGTAATGAAAAAACGACGAGTTTTAAATATTTTTCAAATTCAGTTTGTAAACGAACATTTGCAATTTTTGCAAATATTTCTTTATGATTTTGCAAAATCCATATTTAAATCACTTTCATTACTTTCATGCATTTATTGTCAATTTGAGTATATAATTAATGGTTTGGCAATGCTATTTCTATCAGTGTATGTAATTCAACAGTTATTTTGTAAGACATTTTAAAGAAAAAGAAGTGTACGATGTTTTACAACTTATTATCACTAACTAAATCACAACTGGGTTAATTATATTACATTAAGTTGCAAGGTCTTGCAAACTGAAAAAATTTATAATAAAAAAAAAAATATAACAGTTAAAAGTTCACTTGTTATACACAATTTATGGTACATACTAGCTCTTAAGAAATAACTTTTATATTAAACAATCTTAATAATCAATAAGCTGACTTTATCTGACATGAGTTACGGCCCCCTCGCATACACAATAGAAGTTTTGCCTAAACTATTAATGTACACCTTCTGTGACGAAGAATTAAAATTATCATTTCATTCCCACGCCACAGAGATATTTGGAAACAAAAAATCACATATAATCACACATATAAGTATCATAATTTATTGCACCACAAAGTGTGAACATAAGACGTTGAGACTCTAAAAACTATTTTTTGAGAATTAGAAGAATAAGGTTTGGTCCAACTCACATATGAAAGAGTCGTATTTACTTTTTAATAATTATAAAATTAATAAAAGCTTTACACAAGCTTAATTTTTAATCAATTAATCATTGTACTTACCACTCTGATGAATTTGCCCGAACTCCATACTCTTTCACATTTCCAAAAAATCACGTTATAAATCACTAATATCACAGAATTATTCATTATTTCTAATATTGTTATGTTCTAATATTAGTAGAAAAACGTAATGATGCACTTCACATTTCATTTCATACTAAATTACACGTGAAGAATTCGTTATATTTATACCTTTCGACTACAGTATAATATTCTTACCTAATTATATTTCCCAAAAATGAACGGCTGAAAACTTGATACCTGTATTATCTACGTATATTGACCATAGTAACAAGATTTTTGGTATTGTATTATCAGTTTTGAATCCCTTGAAAATTTTTTTAACCTGCGATATTTGGGTTAAATGCCAAATATGGAAATATATAAAAATTTATTGTAAGCGAAATTGACTATCGATATTGGAAGTGTTTTTAAAAATTTTGTTTTTCTAGGAAACTTCATTCCCTTCGTTCCCTTCGAAACATAATAATTTCATTTCATTTAGAACTACATATGGCACTTTAAATTTATAATCTACTTACCTTATCTACCTAAGTCTCTGATTTGGCGTCGCAGTTTTATTCATGGAAAGGGCTTTTTTTATTTTTATATCTTTTATTACATCCTTTGAAACCAAGGTTCAATTGAGTGATGTGTAAAAGTAACTCAATTACAAGAAGAAAATAAATTTCTTGAATTAATTGAAAGTCACTCCAAAACTAACTTCTTTTTCCATACAATGAAATAAGTACAAAATAATATATTAATTGAATTATATTATATTAATTGAAAGTTGACTTAAATGAATGGGTGATGCTGATATCAGCAAGGGGAGTAAATTTTGCATTTAAGTCGAGAACAGATTTTTCTGGGGTTTGTTCCTCAATTATGAAAGTATTACTTCGATGCAGTAAGCATATTAAAATATTTTTAGCAGAGGTTACACTTTTATTCTGATCAGAAGTTCTGTAGATTGATATATTTTTGATTAAATAAAAATTTCTAAGTCTCTATGTCTTTTACAATATAAGTTTTTAACATCATATAATAGGTGTATATCTATGACACATACACAATAGATCAAGCTCGTCGCTGTGCATAGGGGCCTTTGGCTAACCCAAAACCCCCAATACCACCATTGAAGTTTTGCAGCTTAACAATGAATTTGCCCTTTGTTGAATGAAGAATATGACATAAAGGTTATAGAGAAACGGGAGATTCTTGCTAATGAATATTCTTTAATTAAATATTGATTATTCAATACACTTTTAGGTTTGTCGTACATTACTATATCAATCGTCCCTGAATATAGCTTAATCTTATTGATGAAATGCTGTTTTGATACAAAGATTATTATTATTAGATATTATGATTAAAAGTATTTGAATATTAAGTATTTAAATTTAGTTTCTTATGTGACTTACAAATTTCGAATGATACTTTTCAATATTTGTTATATCTGCAATTTCACTTGTAATGAAAGCGAATGAATGTATATCAAATATCTTAAATTTGTCTAATTAAAATTTGTTAAATATCTTAATTTTATCTATTTTCTCAACTAATGAATATATATATGTTTTTAAATTTATTTAAAATTTGATTTGATCAGTATGACTATAGTACAAAATATTAGACAGTTTCTTTCTACAGCAACGAAACGAATTCAATTCGACAAACATTAGTGAATTCTTAAGAGAGTAACAAATAACATGTCATTCCACGAAACCTAATAGTTATACTTCGACTGCTGATATCGCAAGATTTGATAGCACAACTTCCAGATAATGAAGGATACTTAATATAGAACAATTAGGGCTTTCAACTCAAGAAAAAGTATTGAAACGCTAGAAATAGCATTAAAACTCTGTCCATGGGGTTAATAAACAAACACCTCTACACATAATAGAAGGTAAAGTCTGTACTAATAATATGTACGAACTAATCAGAAATAAAAATAGTAATCTTCAGAAAAGGGGGTTTTTAAAAAGGTTTTTAAAAACGTTTATAGAAAATGAAGATCAAGCACTGACGACTGCTCTAAGGTGCGGAGGTATGCCGCGCACACCTTAACATGATTTACAAAACTTTAAATAAAACATATAAATTCAATAAAATATCTTAACATCCAGAATTAATATAATTTATTACATGAACATATACATATTTTTAAAGATAAAAGTTTTGGAAAAAAAAACAATTACATGAAATTGTTCATGAAAACCCAATCAAATTTCTCCTCTTAGCTTCTATAGTTAATAGGTGTGCTCAAAAACAGAACACTTCTATTATATTATGTATTTTCTCTTTAAGCAACTGCATTCACAAATTTCTGTGTAATTATAGTTAGATGGTAAATGTTGAAATAGTCGATAATAAAGCAGAATTCCGATTGTTCAGCTTACGAAAATCTGTGCACAAATTTTATATTAGAAATTGAAAGAGTAATTTGCATAGAACACATATGTTTATACTTAAGCGGTCACCCCTAGATCAGTTCGTTTTAAGCTTTATAAAACTATATAGAGTAGATACTTTATGGAGCCCCCAAATCATATTGACATCAAAACTATAAAAAAATAGTTTCTTTAAATTAAGGATATGGAAATATAAATAAGAACAAAAAAATATATCGAATAGTGGTCTCGAAGCCTATCCAAACCCAGTCATTGTTTTGACTCACTATTATCTTATTTATTGTAAGTTGTATGGTATATGATTTAGAAATTCCTTAAAATGAGAAGAGAAATAACTAAATTTATCTCTTAAATTCTCTTTTAATTTCTTTGCTGCGAGTCGTACAGTTTTCAAATTAAATAAGTTAATAATTTTATTTAAAAATAACTTGCTTGACATAATTCTTTATGCCACCAAATGAACTATAAATATAGAAAGTAAATTATTGAATAAATGCAATCAGAGTAACCATTTTAAGTTGTCCAAAAATAATAAATTTAATCAAAACTTATCTTTTTCTGTTCTGTTAAAAATTATAAATTTCTATTTATTTAGAGTCACTTTTAGTCCATTGGAACTTGAGTAAAATATCTGCTTAATTGCATTTGTAATTTTATAAACATTCTGAAGAAAATGGATCATATCGAAGATGCAATTGCAAATACAGTTGACTTTGAAATAAGGGCCTGCACAGCTACTATATTGCCTATTAGCAGCAAGAAGCATATTTTGAATGAAACCGAAGAAGGAGAATACACTAATTCCGGTTTGCCACCTTCGTCATGTACATCTATTGCCAATGAGGAATCCAATCATGCAATAAGTGAAACTGACAGCATACAAGATGTACAAAACGTTGCGGAACAAGAGCAGTTCAATGCTTGCTCCAAAAAACAACTCACGAATGAAATATCAGTATCAGTTATCACTGATACAGAACAAGAAAACTTGTCTCAACAGAAAAAGTCTACATTGGATGAGCCACAATTTGAGGAAGCCACAAATGAGGTGTCGATATCAAAAACAGATGGTGAGATTATAAGGTTCTCGATTGATGAACTCACGAATGAAACATCAGTATCCGTTATCACTGATACAGTTATCACTGATACTGAACAAGAAAACTTGTCTCAACAGAAAAAGTCTACATCGGATCAGCCACAATGGGAGAAAGTAACAAAAGAGGTGTCGATTTCAAAAAATGATGGAGAGATTATAAAATTTTCCATTGATGAACTCAAGCAAATTAGGGAAGATATAGAAAGCAAAGTAACTAGAAACAATTTAAATTGGGAACCATTTAATCTTACAACGAAAAACAATAACGATAAGGTTTTTATTATTATATTCTTTCCAAAAATTGTAAATTTCTCTTTAGTAATAATTAATTTCACACTCTGCGTTTGACTACAGGTTATTAGTAACTCAATAAGCAACAAATTGAAAGAAGTTTTCCCTTATCACAGTGATACCTCTTTGGAATACCAATATTCTACAGGTAATATTAACATATTTCAAAACGACGTTCTCTGAGCTTATACCTATATAGTAAATAAACAAAATTAAACTCTGTTATAATTTAAAATAATTTTTTATTTCCAATCAATTATGCAATAAAAGAAGTCAATACATTAAGTGAGGTCCGCAGAACAAATTTGAATATAACAAAGTCGTCTAGTTTCCCATACATTCCGAATTCAGTTTCTCAGGGACACATGAATTTTTTAAATGAGAATACCATCGCGTCTGAAAGGCCAACGAAGAAACCTGCCAAATATCAAAAGCACATTACTATTCGATATGACGACTCAGACGAAGAAGATAAAAAACGAGTTCCATTCTGCCCATACTGCTTTTAAGCACCTGTAATTGTTAAAGGATACATAAAGATTAGTCCTGATAGAATATATGAAATAAAAGGAAACAGTGATAGTGCTCATATATCTATGTCTATGGATAACTAAAACTCACTTCGTGCTTTCAGTATAAACATAACTTTGTCGAAATTTTTTGTTTAAGTCTTATTAAATATTTCATACATTTGTGTTCAATATATTTTAGTATTCCATCTATAAAGTAAATAAAATCGTTTGTGTTTAATTATTATTATTATTAGGAATTATTTAAAAAATAATACTGCACTTCAGACTCTATAAAAATCTACATTTGAATATTTATTATCATTCTAAATAAAAAATATGAATAGAATGCAATATAGAAGCTAAAATCTTGTCATGAATTGCGAACATCGTTTTAAATCCTCTAAAGACAAAAAAATACAGATAATTTCAAAATTTAATACAGATGAATTCATTTATGAAAATGTTTTAATCATAAGATGTTTTTGAATACAAAAACAACTATCATACTTTACCCACTGAAGCGTTTTATTTTGCTTTTATTTTTTGTTTTTCAACTCCGCAGACTTCGTTACTATCCCATTAGTTGAAATTTCCGAATACTTTCCGAATCGTAAATCTAAATACGAACAGCACTACTATTGAATGCTGCTATTCGTACATTACTTCAAATATTTCTCAAATCCATTTGATTCACTGGTAAATCTCTTGTATACAGACATTTGTTGTCTATCTCATATTGTATGTACAGATTGTAGCATAAAAAAGTAGTGTAAATATTCTCTATAAAATATTTTAATTTTTTAGGTTTCTCCAAATGATTATACATACAAATACACATCAAAAATTATTGTGCTTTACTAACCTGAAAAAAGTAGAAAAAATGTCTCTGACTTTTTAGGATCCAGTATGTTGCTAAAACTCTTAGGAGATCATTGTAAACGCTATCTTGTAAACAACATCTTTAGAGAGATGATTAACAGTAGTTGTCGAACTTAAATGTAATAGTAGTGTATTTCAAAAACATTCGATCACGCCTTCAGTCCTCTAAAAGAAAATGTTGAATTTATACAAAAGAAATGTTTGTTTCTTTTTTATAATTTGCATATGCTTTTCTTAATGGTATAATGTTATCCTTCCTATCTATCAATTTAACAGTTATTAAAGTCAAAGATATAAATATTATTTAAACAACGAATTACAATATTTTTTAAATCATTAAACTATACAACATTTATTATATGCTCAAGTAACTAACAACAACTAACTCAACTAATATATAATTATATATTATTATTTATGAAAATATATAATACAATATATTATGTATATAATATAACTGGGTACACATATGAGCTTTAAGAATAGTTATTATTATAACATATATGTTATAATATTATAATATTTACTATAATAGTTATTATTGTTTGTCATTACAACTTGTTTTAAAATGAAATTTGTTTGGCTTTTGCAGTGATTGGCCAATCAGACAGAGGAACATCTTTAACATTCAAATTTCTAAAACGGAATCGAGCAACCACGCCTGGGTTCGGCATCCTCACCGTAAACCTCACAAATTTTTCGACAACTTTTTGCATTCATTTCACCTTTTTTTAAGGATATAAAGGATATAAAGGAAGCATCAAATAGTGAATTTAATAGATTTATAAGAAGGAGTTAACTTGAGCGGGCTTCAGATGCAGTCCTGAATAATTCGAATTTAATTTGAATCACTCATATGCAGTGCAACTTTTTTAACTTACTACTTAATGGCATTAATAAATAAAGTTAAGAATTCTTTTTTGATGGTTTAATAAATTTCAATTTTAAATAAAAAAATCACAGCATTTTGAAAAGTCACAATGTGAAATTTTTAAAAGCTCTAATTGTTTTGAGCAAGCCAATGCATGGGTAAATTAAATAAAAGCGTCCTACAATACATATTGAAAGTTCTATGGTTTGATGGTCAGCACTCTGGACTTGATTCCAGCGATCCGAGTTCAGTTCTATGTAGGCGTTCAGAGTTTGCTGTTGTGATGGATTATAATAGCTCGATGATTAATATAAATTGGATGCTTATTAAGAATATTGGAATATTAGACCATTAGAGAGTCTAGACTACAGAGAGACAGTCTAAGAAAGAGAAGGAGATTTTAATTCAACTGTGAACACTGCTTTAAGATACTCTGCGCTTTTCTCTGCATTTTAAATAATTTTCTATATATAGCATATATTAAATTCTATGTACATAAAGAGGTTTTTTCGAACAGTGGTGAACTGCAACAACAAAAATTTTATTTTTTATATTATTTTAATTAATTGAATATTTGGCTGACCATACAGCTGTTTCGAGTATTGCCAAATACCTATCATCAGTGGTCTTGGAAATAATTCTTGTATTTAATTATTCTTAAATACTTATTTTTGAGACTGCAAGTACCAGGAATCGAACTCGGGTCCTGCCAAATGTGAAGCTCAGAATCAGCAAACCTATATACATGTAAATATAGTTCAAATAAATAAAACATTAAACAATTGTAATTACTTCCGTTAATTTTAATAATGAATATTAATAAAAATAATAATGAATAACTACAAAATAAATAACAAGTTCTTCGAATTATGTCCACATCTTAAAATTATACAAATATGTTAAAGTTATCTCTTAAATGTTTAAAGTTCACTTACTACTTACTAGTTCACTAACTATACATAAACTCGAAATAATCGAAATAAAGATCGAAATAAAATCTGCATTTGGACATGATGCATCACCATCATTGAACTGATTTAACTGATTTGTAGTAAAATTATTTTAAGAAACTTCATCACTATACGCCATCATTTGAAACGGATGAGTTCCCTTAAAAATTATGGATAAAGTCCAACGTGCCATCTCTAAAACTTATCTCTCCAGATTCTTCAGGATTCTTCAGTAACATTTACTTTGTTGTATTTTACTAAGTCTATCTTTGACCAAATGTGGTTTTAATAAATCGAATCGAGATTTTATTCTTCTGCCTAACATAAAATGGGAGGCTAGTGGAGTGCTTTATATTTAGTGTTCTGGATTCAAGTACTAGTTTTTATTAAAATACTAATGAAAAATACATATATAAATAATATCAGTATGTCGTCAATAAATTTCTTAAAACTTATTGCATTTCACATTTCTTAAATTTATTAATTAAATTTTTGGTTAAAAAACATCAAAAAAATAATGTGTTAAATAATAAATGAAGCACAGTAAACATTACTAAATAATAATTATGGTTAAAAATGTTTAGGGTTTTAGGGTTAATTTGTGGTATTTTTTAACTAAAATGGTACGATTTAGATACATAATGATGGTTAAATATGATGCTTTCCAAGAATACAATTGTGCTTTTATAAAACAAGAATAAAGAATATATGTGTATTTTCCTCATATAAGGCAATAATTGTAGCACATTTGAGTTTGTTTTTAACATTAATTGTTAATATAATCAGTAAAGATATAGCAAAGCTATTATCTGCCTTTATGTCCCGGTGATTGCAAGATGTTGAAATATATTTTCTAAAGTACAAAAACAAAAATTTTTTTAAGAAGTATTAAATGACACCTTATATATAAGAGTAGAATACAAGAGAGATGCGTTAAGTTTTCGATAAGTTAGAAAAAACAAAAAAAAAAAATATGAGATAATGGTCCAGAACGATAGAGTGTTCATTATAACAACAACTAAGGTGCGCTAAAATTCAGGCCACATGTTTAAAGTAAGAGGAATTGGGTGAAAATATTGGACTCCCATTTTATTGTAATGGAATATCGGGATAATCAAATAGAATGGTTAGTCCTATTATAAAGTTATTATAATATGATTATAAACAGAGTGTCTATTATAAACAGAGTAACATGTGCTGAAAGTCAAACTTTTTTTGGAGCATTTCGCAGTAAAGATCAAACAAAATTGGAATGGTTTGCTTATTTAAAAAAAATAAAAGGAATTGTGAATTTGAACCATAATTAGATTCTTTTGCAATCAGCAAATTTGTTTCGCGTTAGACGGTAGAATTTTCGGGAGGTTCTGTGAGAAAACGAACGTTTAACAATTGAACACGGATTTACATTAAATTTGCCGCACCAATAAAAAATGTTTACTTTTTAGTTGCAGTTGATGTATACTCCAAATGGGTATGAATCACTAAAACTCAACATACATATAACGACGGCATCCACGATTACGATACTGAGAAACGTTTCTTGTAAAATGGTTCAAGGATACCACAGTAAACGATAATGGAACCCAATCCACAGCAGGGGAACTCCAACACTGTTTAAAAGCAAATGGCTTTTAAATTAATTTATGCACTTTCTGACTGAAAATTTTATCAAGAAACAGTATTACGTCTAAAGTAATACTTGAAAGATGTCCTTTTGTTTATCGTGCTATAAAACATTATACAACATAAGGCACTCCACCAGTCTTCCGTTGTATGTTAGGTAGAAAAATAAAATCTCGATTCGATTTGTTAAAACCACATTTAGTCAAAGATAGACTTAGTAAAATACAAGAAAGTAACATTAACAACCTGGAGAGTCTGGAGAGATAAGTTTTAGAGATGGCACGTTGGATTTTGTCCATAATTTTTAAGGGAACTCATCCGTTTCAAATGATGGCGTATAGTGGTAAAGTTTCTTAAAATAATTTTACTATAAATCAGTTAAATCAGTTCAATGATGGTGATGCATCATGTCCAAATGCAGATTTTATTTCGATCTTTATTTCGATTATTTCGAGTTTATGTATAGTTAGTGAACTAGTAAGTAGTAAGCGAACTTTAAACATTTAAGAGATAACTTTAACATATTTGTATAATTTTAAGATGTGGACATAATTCGAAGAACTTGTTATTTATTTTGTAGTTATTCATTATTATTTTTATTAATATTCATTATTAAAATTAACGGAAGTAATTACAATTGTTTAATGTTTTATTTATTTGAACTATATTTACATGTATATAGGTTTGCTGATTCTGAGCTTCACATTTGGCAGGACCCGAGTTCGATTCCTGGTACTTGCAGTCTCAAAAATAAGTATTTAAGAATAATTAAATACAAGAATTATTTCCAAGACCACTGATGATAGGTATTTGGCAATACTCGAAACAGCTGTATGGTCAGCCAAATATTCAATTAATTAAAATAATATA